CCCAAATAAAAAGGATGGAGAAAACAAGAGTCGGGCACAGCTACAGGTACGCACAGATGTGCCAGGAATGGCATGGACGTGCAGCCTAAGTAGCATGGATGTGCCACCCTAAGCACAGACGTGCAGAGTCAGAGGGGGTGAATAAGTTTGCTATTGATTTGGCCAGGAATTACTGCACGGACGTACCAAATATGGCACGGACGTGCAGCCTTGAAGTGCAGAATCAGTTTTGAAACTGATTTGGGCCAAGTGAGCTGCACAGACGTGCTACTTCTGCACGGGCGTGCTGGCTGACTTGCACGGACGTGCTGGAGTCTTGCAAGGCCGTGCAAGATCAGGCAGAAGCACTAACTTGCTGGAATACCCCTGCACGGTCGTGCAGGACATGGCACGGACGTGCAGGGTCTTCTAGGCCCTTCTCTTCACATTTTCTTCTGTTTTGCTCCTTTTTCACGGCTTCTAACCTCGGTTTATCATCCATAAGCTTCAAATGATCGTCTTTGGACCTAAAAACTCAACAAAACACTAACAACCCGTGAAGCAAGGGATACACAAAAATTGAACGAAAATAGGATAGAAGTGAACCAAAATGCTAATATATCGAGTAAACAAGGTTCAAAATCACCCTAAAATCATATCAAATAACAAGTTATAAAATCCCCCCAAGCTAAGTTTTTGCTAGTCCTCGAGCAAAAAAAACATGTCAAATCAAGAAGGAAGATTACTTGTAATGATCAAACCAAGGAGAGAAAACACAAACACAAATCCGCATGGCAAGAACCATAAATACTTTTAGCACAAGTGAAAGCAATTTAAACCCCTAAGTCGCCTAAGAGGACGAGTTTTTATCTCGTGAGGGTTTCCGTTGAGCTTAAACCACAACTCACACAAACCACGCCAAACTATCATAACACATCATTATAATCAAAGTGGTCAATACACACCAAAACCAATGTTTTTATTGCCCAAGTCAACTCATCGTGATATAAGTCACAAGCAAGACAAGTGAGCGACTTTCAAGAATTACCATTCATACAAATGTGCACATGAGTTGGGGGTAGAGAGGCGAACTAAGCAAGGTTGCACTAGGATACTTCCTTATACCTTTTACTAGTTCATTAGAGCACGTCTAGATATTCCAAAGTTGCAACAAGCCCTCTTTCGGTTATAAAATCTCAAAAGGCAAGTCCACCTCCCAAAATGCACTCCCAAGCCCTTTCAACTACGCTCTAATTCGGGAATTTACACAAGAAACATCAAAATAGATAGTGTGTGGGAGGCATCCACAAATTGACCTCTAGAAAAGAAAAAGTGAAAACTTTGAAAAATCTGGAGAAGTTTTTGATCTCCTTTTCTTTTTCTATATTTTTTTCTTTTCTTTTCTCTTTTTTTTCATTTTTTTTACATTCATTGCCCTCGCCTCTTTTAACTGTGAGCGGCTCTTTCTTTTATTTGAAACATGTGGTTATTATGCCACTTATTACACAAGATACAAATAGAACCAATTCCCTAATAGAGTTTCATTTTGGGGGAGAAGGGGAGACACATCAAGGGCACAAGGGATCGTAATTTGATTTAAACATATCCTACTTTGGGCAAATTTGACAATATCCTATGCTAGACATGCAATTGAGAATTCATCGGTTTTCGTTTCATATGCTCTAATGCAATCAAGATTAATAAGCCTCTAAATGACCTCAACTCTTGCACACACCCTTCTAAAAGAACTTTTACTCATCACTCAAGAGTCAAGCAAGGAAATTATATAAGCATCGTCATTTGAGTCTCATCCAAGGGACAATTTTTTGGTTTTTTTTTTTTTTTTTTTTTTTTTTAAGGTTACTAGAAAGCAAGAATAGATAAAAAATTAAGAAAACTAAGCTAATCATAAAAACAAAAAATTGAAGCACAACTACACATCTAAATCAATAAAGAGAGAATTGACATAAATAAAGAGAGAAGAGAAGAGAAGTATTCACATATTAAGAGATTTGGATTTAGGGTGTTGGATTTCAAAGGGAGAAAATTTGGATGTTTAGGGGTTTGGATGTTAGGGGAAGGAACAAACAACATGCAAAGTAAATACCAACAAGAACATACAATAACCAACATATGAACCAAAGAGAAAGACTCCCCCCCCCCCCCCAAGCTATCATAAACATTGACCCCAATGTTAAAACAATTAAAGCACAAGAAGGGGGAGAAAGAGAACTAACTCATTGGCTCGGGCCTCCTTGGGAGCTTGAGCCCCCGGGGTACCAATGTCGGTAGACGTTCCAGAATTCACCAAATTCCGACCGAAGACCTTCGAAGCTTGTCCTCATGTTGTCGTAGGAGGATCTCATGTCTTCGTGAGACTTTTTCATAGTCTCGAACTCGGTGGACATGCGTTTGAACCCGACATTCATCATTTGCATTTGTTGCTCAAAGGAAAGGGGTGGGTTGCCCTCACCCATGCCTTGACCTTGGTACCCTTCTTGGTACCCCTGTTGATGCTCGTATTGTTGTTGTTGGTGGAATTGTTGTTGGAAATGTTGTTGTTGTTGCGGTTGTTGTTGTTGTGGTTGGTCTTGTTGTTCATGCTCTTCTTCATCATCACCAGGAATCCAAGGGTGGTCCCTCTCGAAGACCAAGTTGCTCTCGTCATAGATGAAGGTCCACTCCGGATCGGGGAGGTAGGCATAGGGGCGTCCACTCACATGCCATAAGTAAGGACGCGACCCTTCCGTGTCCGCAACCCATCTCATGGTCCTAAGCGATTGCATGTCTAGCTACGTCAGCCCTAGGACAACCCGCTCATCTGCAAAATCAAGGTTAAGAGCAGAATCAATAATAGTGATCATGCCACCTATGGTGATATTGCCGGACCCAGTGGCAACATCCTCTAGGTGGTCGACTAACCAGGCCCCTACATCTAGAGCCGTACTACCCTCGCTCAAGTTCCATAGGAAGTGAAGCTCCCTAGTGGACACCACCCGAACTATCACCTCTAGCGAACGTCGTGTTCGCTATGGTGCGCTGTGACATCCTAAAGGCGGGGTGGATCATGGCCGTAGCTTTATCGGTCCTAGGGTTGTAGTCGAAAAGGTCGGTGATCTTCATCCAAAACTCACCCGCACAATAGATAAGGGGGGCCTATCCTTTGGTCCTATGGTGCCGTTAATTGGCCACCCAAAAGCTTGATTCACCCTCCTTATGTTCAAGTTGTGTTGGGTGTTCATGAGTTGGAAGGTAAGGCGGCGGGGGGATCTATTGTTGTCTCGTTGCACTTGAAGGGTGGAGAGGAATTCAAGTGTCAACCTTTTTTGTAGGTCAGGGCGCTTAAATCTAGCCAATTTCCTAGGCCACAACCCTCGAAAAGCATCCTAACATCGTCCCTTACCCCTAAAGCCTCGGCAACACTCTCGTCATAGAACTTGGTAGGTCGAACTCTCCTCCTACCTATTCTTATATAGTTGTTCAAAAAGGTTGGGTCATTGAACACGATTCCCATAGTGTCCACTTGTGGTGGATCAACGGGAGGAGGAGGAGAGGGGTTGCGGTACCTAGCATCCGTGTTTCTAGGTCGATTTCTTCTAGTCATGGTCGGTCTTAATGCAATGCAATCAAACAAACCAAGACAAAATAATCACCTCGCAACCACACAAAGAGACTAAGTCCACAAGTCGAACAACCAAAGCTCAAACAAGGCCAATAAACACAACACAATCAAGTCAAGTTCTAAGTCTCCCACCTAAAACAAGCAAATCACCAAGAAACAAAGACTACTTCAATAATGCATCCACAACAATTCTACATCAATTTCATGCAATATTATCAAACAAACCAACACAACAATCCACCTAAACAAGCATGTTCTTCCTTCATGAAAATCAATTTCTCAACCTCACTTACAAAAAATCCAATTCTCAAAACACACCAAAATTCATTCAAACTCAATAATGCTTGACAATTATCAACTATTAATCACTCACAACCAATTCAAACAAACTTTCTCAAGCAATTTCATGCAAAAATTCAAGGAATTAAACATGAAATTAGTGAAAGGGAGGAACGATTATACTGAGCTTATCGTGGGTGTAAAACCCGCAAATGAACCTTTCTAACCTTCCTTTTTCTTGCTTGAACTTACTCCTTCAACCAATTGTCTTGAACTTCAACTCCAAAGCAAAACCCCCAAATTGATTTTTCAAGGTTAGGGTTTGAGAATTTTGGGTGATTTTTGGGTTTGAATGTGAGAAAAGGAGTAGTAGATTGTGAATATGTTGAAATGGAGTGAAGATTTTGGAGAAAATTGTTGAATTTGGTGAGGATTTGGGTGAGAATGGAGAATTGAGTGGGTTTTGAAGGAGGAAGTAAGAGTTTTAGATAGAGGAGGAGTGTGAATCGTGAGATGAGAGTGAAAGATGAGTGATTTTTTTTGTTAAAAACCGTGCTGCTGCCAGGCATATTCGGGGCTGCACGGACGTGCCAAATTGGCACGGACGTGCAGCTTCGAGCAGATTCGAGGGGCATTCTGCCTATTTTGGCACGAACGTGCTGAGGGTTTGCATGGACGTGCTGAACTTCACGCACAGACGTGCTGATTTTGGCACGTCCGTGCCATACTTCAAAGATTAATTTGCCCCACTTTTGCTCGATTCTGCTTGGCCCAGTTTGCTTCCGCACGGAGGTGCAACATTAAGCACGTCCGTGCAGACCTGATGCTGCACAAATTTTTCTCTTCATTTTGTTTTGAATAATAATACTAAGGCATAATAATAATAAAATTATTATCATTACCATTATTATTATTACTACAATTACCTACTACTTCACTTCCACAAAAACCTTTTCTTACTTTTCTTTCCATCAACACCTACAAAAGACATTGAGAGAAAAGTTAGTAATAGTAAGAGTGATGGAAATTAAATAATAGTTTATGAGAGAGAGAGTTGAGAAACTCGGGTTGCCTCCCGGAAGCGCTCTTTTAACGTCACTAGGTTGACGACATTGCGGGATCAATGAGAGTAGGGAACATCAAACTCATCAAGGTGAACAACCTTGGCTTCCTCATGCACAAAACCGTCAAAGTATGCCTTAAGCCTTTGGCCATTCACTTTGAACGGTTCACCATTGTCATTTGAGATTTTTATCGCTCCATATGGAAACACCTTCTTAACGATGAAAGGTCCACTCCATCTTGACTTAAGCTTACCCGGAAACAACTTCAACCTGGAATTGAATAGTAGGACCTTGTCACCTTCCTTAAACCCCCTTTTTCTAATATGCTTGTCATGCCAAGCCTTAGTCTTTTCTTTATAGATCCTTGCACTCTCATATGCATCCATTCTTAATTCTTCCAAGGCATGGAGGTCAAGCAACCTCTTCTCATCGGCGCTTTGAAGGTCGAAATTCAATGTTTTGATAGCCCAATGAGCCCGATGCTCAAGTTCTACCGGCAAGTGGCATGACTTCCCATAAACAAGCTTGTATGGTGCGGTGCCAATAGGAGTTTTGAACGCGGTGCGATAGGCCCATAGAGCATCATCAAGCTTTGTAGACCAATATTTTCTAGACCTATCCACCGTTTTCTTAAGAATCATTTTTACCTCCCGGTTTGAAATTTGAGCTTGACCACTTGTTTGGGGGTGGTAAGCTAATGACACCTTCTGCCTCACACCATATTTCTCAAGGAGAGCTTGAAAGGATCGCTTTGCAAAGTGTGAACCTCCATCACTAATCACAGCCCGGGACACTCCAAACCTTGGGAAAATTACTCTATTGAAGAGCTTGACCACAACCTTAGCATCACTAGTAGGAGATGCAAATGCTTCCACCCACTTTGATACGTATCGACAACCACTAGAATGAACTTGTTCCCAAAAGAGCTCGGGAAAGGCCCCATGAAATCGATGCCCCATACATCAAAAATTTCAAGTTCAAGGATGTTGTTCAAAGGCATTTCATTTCTTTTTGAAATATTACCGGTTCTTTGACACCGGTCATAAGCTTTCACCACACTCCACACATCTTTGAACATTGTTGGCCAAAAGAAACCGCATTGCAATATTTTCGCCAAGGTCTTGTTGGCACTCATATGTCCTCCACAAGGTGAGGAGTGACACATTGTGATAACATATTCAATTTCATTATCCGGGACACACCTTCTAAAAAGGCCATCAACACCTTGTTTGAAGAGCAAGGGGTCGTCCCAAAAGTATTGGCGAACATCATGAAGAAACTTCCTTTTTTGTTCATAGGAGAGGTCGGGAGGAAGAATAGAGCAAGACAAGTAGTTTGCAATGTCCTCAAACCATGGTGCCGGTTCTTGGAGAATAGAAAATAGTTGATCATCCGGGAATGAATCGTCGATTGACAAGTTATCAAGATCACCTACAAAGATAGGCAACCGTGAAAGATGATCGGCCACAACATTTTCGGCACCCTTCTTGTCTCTAATCTCAATATCATAGTCTTGTAAGAGCAAGACCCACCGTATCAACCTTGGCTTCGGTTCTTTCTTTGACAAGAGGTACTTCAAGGCCGAATGGTCGGTGAAGACTATGACTTTAGACCCCAACAAGTAGGACCTAAACTTCTCAATTGCATGAACAATGGCTAGAAACTCTTTTTCCATGGTCGTGTAATTCCTTTGTGCATCATCCAATGTTTTGCTAGTGTAGTAGATAGCATGGAGCTTCTTATCCTTCCTTTGTCCAAGAACGGAATGGCAAAATCCGAAGCATCACACATGAGCTCAAAAGGAAGCTCCCAATTAGGGGGTTGAATGATAGGAGCCGAAATCAATGCCTCCTTCAACCTATCAAATGCTAGCAAACAATCATTAGTAAACACAAAAGGGGCATCCTTTACCAACAATTGAGTGAGCGGCTTTGCGATTTTTGAAAAATCCTTTATGAACCGGCGGTAAAAACCCGCGTGTCCAAGAAAACTCCTTATCCCCTTCACATTTGTAGGGGGTGGGAGGCGCTCAATGACCTCAATTTTGGCACAATCTACTTCAATGCCCCTACTAGAAATTACATGACTAAGAACAATTCCTTCTTCTACCATGAAATGACATTTTTCCCAATTCAAGACCAAGTTCACCTCTTGACATCTTTTCAATACTTTAATCAAATTTGAAAGGCAAATGTCAAAATATTAATCAAAAACAGAAAAGTCATCCATGAATACTTCAATTGATGATTCAAGCATGTCGGAAAAAATAGACATCATACACCTTTGAAATGTGAAAGGTGCATTACAAAGTCCAAATGACATCCTTCGATAAGAAAAGGTGCCAAAAGGGCATGTGAATGTAGTCTTCTCTTAATCCTCGGGTTGGATTGGGATTTGGAAGAATCCCGAGTATCCATCCAAGAAACAATAGTGACTATGTGATGCTAGTCTTTCCAATATTTGATCGATGAAGGGGAGTGGGAAGTGGTCTTTTCGGGTGGACTTATTCAATTTTCGATAATCAATACACATCCTCCACCCGGTGACCGACCTCGTAGAAATGGTCTCACCCTTATCATTCTTGATGATGGTCATGCCTCCTTTTTTAGGCACAACTTGAAAGGGGCTAACCCACTTACTATCGGAGATAGGGTAGATTATGCTCGCTTCAAGATGTTTTAAAACTTCTTTTTCACAACTTCCTTCATGTTTGGATTGAGCCTTCTTTGGTGATCAATCAATGAAGCATGATCATCATCAAGTAAAATCTTATGCATGCATATAGTAGGACTTATCCCCTTAATGTCATCAATTTTGTACCCAATGACACCTCTATACTCCCTTAAAACAACTAGGAGTTTTCCAAGAGAGGTATCATCAAGCTTAGAATTGACAATAACGGGATAACTCTCATTATCATCAAGAAAAGCATATTTAAGTAAAGGAGGAAGCGGTTTAAGTTCAACCTTGTGAGGAGGCGTAGTCCTCTCCTCTTTTACCTCCACATTAAGCACTTCCACTTTCTTTTCATTGTGGACTAAAGGTTGGTTGAGCAAAAGATCATACCCCCTTGTTTCTTCACCTTCCTCAACTAAGCCTCCCGTGAGGATAGCTTGTAAAGGATCTCCTTCAAAAAAATTCTATTGGAACTTCTCTAAGTCCCTTTCCAATGTATCAACTCTATGAACTTCATCATACAATGGCTTTTTCAATGTTTGTGGGAATGGAAATGATATTTTCTCCTTCCCACATTCAAGGTCAATCTTACTTGCTTCATATCAATCACAACACCCGCGGTGTTCAAAAACGGTCTTCCCAAGATTAGAGGCACCGTAGTATCTTCTTCCATTTCCATTACCACAAAATCACATGGCATAAATACTCTTCCAACTTGGACCGACACATCTTCAAGAATTCCCAAAGGTAGCCTAACCGTGCGGTCGGCCAATTGTAAGGACATTCTTGTTGGCTTCAAGTCTCCAACTTTCAAACTCTTAGCAATAGAATAAGGCATCAAGCTCACACTTGCCCCAAGATCACATAAATCATCCATAGCCTCCAAGTCTCCAATCTTCACCGGTATTGCATAGCTACCGGGGTCACCAAGCTTTTAAGGAAGCTTTTTTTGAATGATTGCACTCACCTCCTTAGGAAGGGAGATGTTTGCACTCTCTTCAAGCCTACTCTTGTTGGATAAAAGATCCTTCAAAAATTTTGCATATGTAGGCATTTGTGACATAGCATGAAGAAAGGGGATATTCACTTGAAGTCCTCTCATGACTTCAAGAAAATTTGAAAACTTTTCATTCAATTTATTTTCAACAATCCTATGAGGGAATGGAATGTGAGGCTTGTATACTTTCATGGGGGGCTTTTCTACCTTTTCCTCATCTCCTTCATTCTTCCTTTGTGGCTCCTTTCTCTCAACATCAACTATCTCATTTTCAAACTCACCCTCATTTCTCACCACAACTCCCTCATCTCTCTTTTGTGGCTCCTCTTCACTCATAACCGACCCTTCACAACGTATCCCCGATCTCAAATTAATGGCCTTAGCTTGCTCATTTGGGTTCACAACCGTTGAGCTTGGGAAGTGACCACTAGGATTGGAGGATGAACTTCCAACTTGTTGCGCAATTTGAGCCAATTGATTCTCAATTATCTTGTTGTGTGCTTGAAGTTGTTGGATGTTCGCTTGCATATCCGCATTGCTTCTTCCTTGTTGTGTAATGAAGGTCTCAAGTGCGGCTTCAAGGATATATTTTTGAGGAGGTGGAGGAGCGGGTTGGTTATATTGTTGCCTTTGTTGGTTTTGGTCCCTTTGGTTAGGGTGACGGTAAGGAGCTTGTTGGTTTTGTGGATTAGATTGGTTGTATTGGTTTTGAGGGGGGCCTTGGTTTTGTTGTTTCCAACCCGTGTTTTTTTGGGGTTTCCAACCTTGATTGTAGGGTTGAGATTATTGATCGTTTCTTTTCCCAATAGCCGCAGCTTGCTCTTGGCTAGTTGAGTTGCAATAGGAGGACAAGTGATCATTTCCTCCACAAGTTTCACAAGACATGACTTGTTGTGAAGAAGAGCTTGGAGATGTAAGGGTGGCTTGATCTAGCTTGTGAGCTAGCATGTCAAACTTTGATGCAATAAGGTCTATTGCACTAAGGTCGTGGATTCCTCCATTCTTTGCTTAAGGTTGCCGTCTATCACCTCCATATGCATAGTGCTCTGCATCTTCTTCAATCATCTTGTATGCATCATCCACCGATAGCTTTTTAAGGCTACACCGGCCCCGTTGTCAAGGTTGGCCCTTGAAGTAGGAGTAAGACCATCATAAAAGCTTTGAACAATGATCCATGATGTGAAACCATGGTGTGGGCATTTTCTAGTGTAGTCCTTATAACGCTACCAAGCTTCACCTAAGGTTTCATCAATCTCTTGGTTGAAATTGGTGATTTTACTTCTTAGTCCGGCGGTCTTTTCGAGTGGACAATACTTTCCAAGGAAAGCTCTAGTGACTTCATCCCATGTGGTCAATGATCCCTCTTCTACCGTTCTCAACCAATGCTTTGCTTTGTCACGGAGGGAGAATTGAAACATGTGCATACGGATGAACTCTTCCGTAATGTTGTTTTGCTTGATGGTTGTGCACAATTCGAGGAAGTTGTTCAAATGAGCAAAAGGACACTCATCAGAATTCCCACCAAATTGATCACTTTGTATCATACGGATGAGTTGAGGTGAAAGCTCAAAATTATTTACATCCGTAGTAGGGAGACGTATGCTACTCCGAAGTGTGAAGGCATTGGGGTGGTCATAATCTTGTAACAATGGTGGAGGAGGATTGTTATCACCCATGTTATCTTCTTCGTTGGTTGCAAAGATTTCCTCCGGATCAAAATCCGGATATACAATAGAAAACTCAGGTGTGCCTTGCAAAAGCCTCCTCACGTTTCTCAAAGTCCTATTTAACTCTGGATCAACGGGAATAAGCGGTGATTGCTTACTCTTTCGTGTCATGCAAGGTCAAACAAAGCTAAGAAAAACTTTAGCAATGACTATCACAAGTTGAAAACACAAATATACAAAAATAAATTAGAAACATTATGATACAAAAACACACACTTAGACTCATTCAACAATAATACATTCAATGTGACATTGCCTCCCCGGCAACGGCGCCAAAATTTGATAGGCCGTCGTCGAGCCTACCAAAGATAAAGTCCTATCTTGGTCTCACTAGCTAATAGCAAGGGTAAGAAAGGGCCGAACCCAAGAGAGGCGTTGAATCAACCACCGAAATACTACCGCATAAATAAGCTAAATGAAGTCGAAATTGGTTTGGTTTTATGTAACAAGTACTAGTTCAAGTCAACTAAAGCTAGGGGGAGATTAACAATATTTAGAGGATTCTAGGGCTCGGGTTATACCACTCAACTTCATCGCAAATCACAACTAGCATGCACAA